AGGAATGGACAATAAATCAGGAACAAAAACAAAAGTTGCTGGAAAAGCTCAGCAGATCTGGCAGCATAAAGAAAAATCAGTTAACCTTTTGGCTCCGGCGACTCTTCCACAGAACTGTTCTGCGGACCCAAAACGTTACCTCTAACTCTTTTCACAGGTGCTGTCAGACCCGCTGAGCTTTTCCAGCAACTTTTGTTTTTGTTCCAGATTTACAGCATCTGCAGTTCTTTAGGTTTTTAATGGACAATAAATACTGACCTAGCCAGCGATATCCACGTCATGAACAAATAAAAAGGGTGAATAATCCATTAACCTTATTCATTGCATTTATATCTTTAATGTCCAAATACAGTCCTAAAACTTCCCTACCAAAATCAGTAGCATGATAAATCTATTCCAACTATTCTGAACATGAAGCTTTGAATTGATGTCATTGAATATCAGCTTAATTTAAGCTTTTATCTACTTCATATCACTTCAGGCTGCTTACTTTCAATAAGTTAATGCATCTACTGCAAATGTTAATTCTAAATGAAAGTATTAATAAACCCTACCTGTTTGTTCTGTAGATATTAGTGTAGGCTTATCACTTTATAGCTTTTCCATGTTTCAAGCAGGCTCTGAGGGTCAAATGGCTTACTGCTGATACTAAATGCTATAGTTCCTATATTTCCTATCAGTGGACATTAAGAACATGATTAGATTTTTGAGGCAATTGGCAAAAGAATCAGGTGAGATCATAAGACTTTTCTTTTAATTTTTTTATGCATCTGGTTGTAATGATCTGAAATGCATAGCCTGAAAGGGTGTTGGCAACATTTTCAAGTTGGCAGGCTGGAACTAGTGAAAGTGCTACAAGAATCAGTACGAGGCCCTCAGCTACTTACAATCTGTATTAATAATTTATATGTGAGGAGGTAGCAGTGTTATGGTAATGTCACTGGACTTATAAAAATTGACTTAATAGTGGCTACTGTTGATTGCTGCAAAAATCTATCAGGTTCGCTAATTCCCTTTAATGTCTGGTCTGGCCTACAAATTTCAGATTTCAGACCCACAGCAATATGGGTTACTCTTAGCTGCCCTCTGGAAAATAAATAATGGCCTAGCTTGCAACTTACATCATATGAATGATTAAATTAAAAGATATGGAGCCATGTTTCAAAGTTTATTGCTGATCGAAAGCTAAGTCAAAACATTAGCTTTGGGGAGGATGTGGATGTGCAACAAAATGTATAGGCAGTTTAAATGAATGAGTAACAAGATAACAGATAGGAGTAAAGGTGGGAAAGTGTGAAGTTATTCACTTTAATTAAAAGAATACTTTCAAAGATGCAAAACTTGTTGTTTTTCAGAGGGCATTTATAAAGAACATTCAAGGCTGATTTTTAGTCAGTATGGGAATCAAAAGTTATGGGGAAAAGGCAATGAAAGTGGAGTTGAGGATGATCAGATCAGCCATGATCACATTGAATGGTGGAGCAGACTTGATGGGTTCAATGGCCTACCCATGCTCCTATGTCTTACATTTATAGCATAGGAAGTTAGCATGCAAGTCCAGCAAGCCGTTAAGAACGCAAGTGCAAGGCCTTCATTGTAAGGGGATTAGAGAACAGGAATGAAGGGGTCATGTGACAATTTTATAGGATTTTGATGAGATCACACCTGGAATATTGTATGCAGGTTTGGTTTCCATATACATAGATAGAATTGCAGCAAAGGTTCACAAAATTGGTCCATGGGATGCATGGGTTGGGAGCACAGTGTTGTTCTATGATAAGATGCTGAGTACACCAGGTCAATATTTGCTGGAAATTAGAAGAGAGAGAACTGGATGCAAAAACATACAAAAACTTTGTGGGGCTTGATAACGTAGTTGCTGAGAGATGGTTTCTGCTAATTGGGGAATCTGAAGCACAGATCACCTTCTCAGGATAAGGAGTTGATCATGTAAGACTGCGATGAGTAGAAATGATTTCACTCAAGGAGTTATGGATTTTTGGAATTCTCCACTCCAGTGGTGCTGGATTCTCTAATGTTGAATAAGTTTGAGGCTCAGGTAGCCAAATATTTGGTTTCTCAGGGAATCAAGACATATGACATTGGGTGACAAAGTGGACTGAAGCCCAAAGAGAGTCATGGTCATATTCAATGGCCAAGAAGGCTTGATCACCTATAAGATTTACTCCTGCTTCTATTTTTTGTGCTGTTGAGTTCTTGTATTCGATAACATGCTTCAAAAGTAATTTTGATGATACCTGAAAAGAGATGCATTGAATGGTTCTTTCAAAGAGCTAGCACAACCACAAATGGGATGGAAGGCCTCACTCTGTATTGTGTGATTCTAAGAGTTTGGGGTGGCATGGTGGCTCAGTGGTTAGCACTACTGTCTCACAGTGCTGGGCCCCAAGTTCAATCCTAGCCTTGGGTAACTGTCTGTGTGGAATTTGCTTGTGGGGTTGCAGGATTAGGTTGGGGAGCTGTATCTGGGTGGAATGCTCTTTGGAGGGTCAGTACAGTCTTGCCAGCCAAATAACTTCTTTCCATGTTCTTAAGATTCTAAGTAAAGGATCTCGTTCTCATATTTCTATTAGTACATGCTGGTTTTCCTTACCACCTGAATATTCGGCAACAACATACAATTTACTTTGCAGATACAGGACTTGGAAAATAACTTATGATCCTTTTATTTTTACAAATTCAGGTGTAGATAAGGATGCGTGTGGATGTTTATTCAATGTTATCCTATCAATACACAAAAAGGATTCTAGCTCCTTAAAAGATCCTAGGATTTGAGCTTTCCAATCTCACAACTGGAAGTCTCAATAGGAACATTGGAACATTCAGAGCCCATTTTGCTCTTGAACTACTTTTTTCATTCAATCATGTCATGGCTGATCTACGTCTCAACTCCGTCTAGTTGTTTCGGATCTATATCCCTGTATATAGTTGGCTAGCAAAAATCTAGCAATCTCTGATTTAAACTTATTGACTGAACCAGAATTACTGCTTTTTCTTGTCAGAGTTTTACACTTCAACTTTGTTTGAAGAAATGTTTCATAAAATAGAATCCCTACAGTGTGGAAACAGGCCCTTAAGCCCAACAGGTCCACACTGACCCTTGGAGCATCCCACCCAGACCCATCCCCATATAACCCACCTAAGTTACACATGCCTGAACACTATGGGGCAATTTAGCATGGCCAATCCACCTAACCTACACATTTTTGGACTATGGGAGAAAGCCAGAGTACCCTGAGGAAACCCATGCAGACACATGGAGAATGTGCAAATTCCACACAGACAGTTGACCAAGGTTGGAATTGAACCTGGGTCTCTGGTGCTGTGATGCAGCAGTGCTAACCACTGAGACTCCATGCCACCCCTAATGTTTCCCAACATCTTCCTAGAATCATAACCAGAAGGTCTGGCAGCATCTGCGGACAGAAAAACAGAATGGTGTGGCTTTGTTCTAAATTTCTGTCTCCTGATCTTACTCTTGCTCCCCTACCTCAATGATATTCAAGCGGCTTGGCACCATCCAGAAGAAAAGGGTTTGCTTGATCGTCAATCTACACCACTTTAAAAAATAAATTCCCTCCACCACCAGCACACCTATCTAGAAGATGCACTGGAAGAATACATCAAAGTTTCTTCAAGAGCAGTTTCAAAACCTCTGTCTCCCCTTCACCTGCAAATTCCTCTCCTTGTCTTACCAATCTAGAACTATGTCACCACATCATCAGTGAATCAAAATACTGGAATTCCTTCTTTAACAGTACTTTTGTTTTCTTCACCATTTCATAGGAGGTAGATGCCACTGGTAGGGTCAGCATTTGTTGCCTGTGATCTGATTGCCATTTCAGAGGGCAGTTAAGAGTAAAATACATACTGCTGTTCATCTGGAAGTCACTCATCAGCCAGAATGGGATGACAGATTTCCTTTACTAAAGGACATTAGTGAATCGAAGGGTTTTTACAAAAATCTATGATAGCTTTATGGTCACAGTTTCTAAGACTAACTTTTATAACTCCAGATTTATTGGTTAAATTTAAATTCTACCGTCTTCTGTGGTAGGATTTGAATCCGTGTCACCCAGAGCATTAACCTGGATGACTAGTCCAGTAACATTGCTATCCGTCCATTATTGCACTCATACCTGCACTACATGGACTGCAGATAGTTGAAGAAGGAAGCTTACTGCCACCTTCTCATTGACAATTTAGAGTCATAGAATCATACAGCATAGAAACTGACATTTCGATCATGCCAGCCATAATCCCAAAATAAACTAGTCCCACTTGCTGGCACTTGGCCCATACCCCTCAACACCTTTCTTATATATGTACTTATCAAAATGTTTTTTAAATGATGTCCCTGTACCCGCATCCACCACTTCCTCTGGAAGATCATTTCACACACAACCCACTGTCTGTGTGAAAAAGTTGCCATTCGTGTCTTTTCTAAATCTTTCTCCTCTCACCTGAAAAATATTCCCCCTCGTCTTGAAATCCCCAACCCTAGGGAAAAGACACCTGCCATTCACATTATCTATACCTCTCATGATTTTATAAACCTCTATTAGGTCACCCCTCAGCCTCCTACTCTCCAATGGAAAAAGTCCCAGTCTCTCCCTATAAATCAAACCTTCCATTCCTGTTAACATCCTGGTAAATTTTTTCTGAACCCTCTTCAGCTTAATAACATCCTACCTATAACAGGTGATCAGAACTGCATACAGTACTCCAGAAGAAGCCTCACTAACGTCCTATGCAACCTCAACATGACGTTTCAACTCCTATACTCAAAGGTCTGAGCAATGAAGGCAAGTGTGCTAAATGCCTTTTTAACCACTTTTTAACTTCTTAATCGTTTGGTTTGGGCAACAGATGCTCACTTTGCCACTGATGTCACATTACATACAATAAAATTTAAAATGTTAAAAAATCCTTTCAAGGTTCTGAAAACCTCAGTGGAACAGATGACTATAACTGCATACCTTTTCTTCTGCTTTCTTTTTGGTCTCCTCGTCCATCCAACTGAGCTCATGCAAATTCTGTACGAAAACTTCACGAATCTGCTCAATCAGTTCTTCAACCTGGAGGAGCAATTAAAAAACAAAATATTCACCGAGTTCAGGTGACACACAGGTAAGAATAAATGGGAACATTAAAAGATAATCAAACTAAACATTAAACAAGATTAAGTAGTGAGGGAGAAACTGTTTCCCTTTGAAAGGAGGTCAGGAATCACAGGACAAAGCCACAGGTTAGTTACAAGAAAGTTCAGAATTTAATTGTTGGGGAGATTTGTACAGGAATCACTAGATTAGCAGAAAGACTTTTGTAAATATCAAAAGGGAAATGGATGAATATTCGAAAAGGACTAGAAGGAAAGAGCAAAAGAGTGACTAATTGGATAGATAGAGTAAGAACAGGCACAATAGCTCATGATCAGAGCATGACCGTGTTGACAAGGAGATGTTGAAATCGTGGGGATAGATTTTACAAAAAAATGCTCCAGGCACAAACAGTGCTAAGCAGATATAAAGTTATGTGGGAGGTATTGACTTTGAGATAAATTGCCAGTAAATGTTTCTGCTGTGTGAATCTTTCCATAGGCAGTGATATTTGTAAAGCCAGTGTCCACTTTTTCTGCTGGTACTGGTGCATCTGAGATCCTGGAGAAAATGAAGGCTGCACGCTTCTCATTAATGAAATCACTGGAACTTGTTACAAAGGACAATTAGGATAGATAGATAGATAGATAGATAGATAGATAGACAGACAGACAGACAGGGAAAATTCCTCCAGAACAAGAGGACAGAACTGTAAAATTTGAGATAGGCATTCAGGGATGATGCCAGGAAGAACTTGTCCATAGAAAAGGGGAATGGAAATTAATTTATAGGTTGTGTACCCCATCTCTCTCTAAGAAAAAGCTGCTGATGCTGGACATCAATCAAAAAGTAGTTACACCGAAATGAATTGATACAACAAAGGTGGATAATTGGTGTTATGATATTGATCATAATGTAATTCATTGTTGTACAGACTTGAGTTGGGTTTGATACATATATGATTATGGAAGTTATCTATGTGTTGAAGGGGAGCAGTGATGTGACCTGGAACCTTCATTTTAAGCAAACTAAAATACAGACCCATGGCCACAATAGGCAGTAGCCCAGGACTGATACCTGGAAAGCACTGTTTCCATTTTCAAGTGTCTGCCGATAATATAAGTTCTTGTTTCAGTGCAAGAAGTCACTAATGTACTCTTGCAATATAAGTGGACTAGGTTACCAAAAAAGTTGACATGTCAGAAATCCTGACAATGTGGAGGCTAATAGCGATGGGGTTAGAAATAAAAGAAACTCTTTGATCTACAGCAGAAACATCATTTTTAGGCATTTACTTGTGGTTCCTGACAATGAAGGTGACTTGAGGAAAGGTGGCAATGACAAAAGCTCTTGAACAGCAAATGCTGGAGAACATTGAATCTAAGGTGAGATTAGAATCACTGAAGAATGATATCGATTATCTTTGGACCTGAATGGCCTACATCTGTTCTTACATTCCTTTGCTGCAGACATGTTCATTTACAATATATAATAAAATGTAAAAAAAGGAAAAAGGAAAATGTTTGCATTTATACAAAATTTTCAAGATAGCTGGATGTCCCAAAGTGCTTTGCAGTTGAGGTTGCACATGTGAATTGTACTCACTTTTGCAATGTGAGAAATACACAGCCACTTAATGCATAGTAAGCTCTCCACAAATAAGAATGTGATAATAATCAGATAATCAGTTGTTGTGAAGTTGATTGAGAGATTAACATTGGACGGGACACTAGAGATAACTCCCCTTTCCTTCTTCAAATTTATGTCATGGATCATCTCCACATGAGGGCTTGGTTTGAAGTATCATCCAAGAAAAAAACACATCGATAAATCTCTTGGATTATTGGAAATGATTAATACACTAAAGTAGAACAGGCTACAAAATGTTCTTTACATGTTCATTACTTCACTGATCCAAATCCATACCGTGACATCCTGGTAATGTCACTGGGCTAGTAATCCAGAACCTCAGGTTAATATTCTGTGTGCATCAGGTTCAGTGATGGCCTGTGGGGAAGGAAATCTGCCACCTTTACCTGGTCTGGCCTATATGTGACTCTAGACCCCAGCAACGTTGTTGACTCTTAACTGCCCTTTGGCAGAGGCATGCCTAGCCAACAACATCATAAGAACAAATTAAACAAAACACCAAAGAAGTGATGAAGTAAGAAATGAGCAGAAAATCTCATCCATTGATTTTAATAGCCATACATTTAGGATTGAGCAAAACATGCACAATGCCCATGACACATCATACCCTGATCAGCCCTTCCTCCAGGTGAGAATCTTCAACAGGAATGCAGTCTCACAACTTTGGTTCTCTATCCTGGTTAAGTCCAAATTAACCATCATTTCAAGTTGCTGTTATATGACAAATGTTGGATTTAATAGGACTGTTAATTCAAAAGTGAGGGGAAAGGATTTGTAGATAATTACTTAGGAGAATATTTGTTTCAAATATTATATGACTGACACAAAGTCTATCTGTTAGACACAAAGTTTTGTAGCTCGATATGAATTGATTACTGTGTTCTGTTGATGCCATGTCTCTCCATACACTGACAGAGGCAGGGTCTTTATTTCTGATAAAAATATATAGTTAACCTTTAACTAATTATGCAGGCTATTATGATGATCCCATTGATTAGTTACTTGCCAGTTGCTATTGTTTCTTCTTTCAAAAGTACCGATGATGTCCATGAGTGGTTTTTAAAAATACATATTTGCCCATGGGTCTGTTTACATCTTTGTAGTTAATACAGACAGTATGGTGCCAGTAAAAATATTTTTTTCATCTGCCTAATCATGCTTTCATTCCTAACATTACAACAATAAGCTCTGTAGTTAGCTGATAAGAAATTAAAAGGAAGGCTTGAAAGGAGCACTAGATGGAACAGCTATTACATTATCATGTTTGATGGCTCTTCAATAACAATGTAGCTTTTCATATTTATGTTAGTTCACAAGGAAAAACATTCTTTCAGCCTTCACCCTATCAAGTCCCCTCTGAATCTCTACTGTTCGGAATGAGGCCACTTGACCCATCGAGTCTGCACCAACACTCTGAAGAGCATCCCATTCAGGCCTAGCTCCCAGCCCTCTCCCTGTAAATCTGCATTTACCATGGCTAACCACCTAGCCTGCATATCTCTGGATACAATGGGCAATTCAGAATGGCCAATCCACCTAACCTGCATGTCTTTGGACTGTGGGAGGAAACCCACACAGATGCAGGGAAAACATACAAACTCTACACAATCAGTTACCTGAGGCTGGAATTGAGCCCAGTTCCCTGGCACTGTGAGACAGTGTTGTTTACCACTGATCCACATGCCACCCACAAAATAACACAGACAGGGGCTTGAACTCTCGCCTGCAAGGTTTAAAGTCTGAGATTTTACCAACTAAGCTACCAGGCTCCCTTGAATATTTTATGTTTCACTAGGATAATCTCTCAATTTTTTAAACGTCAATGAGTATAGGTTCAACCTGCTTGACTTTTCTTCTAAAACAGATTATCTGGTCCATATTACATTGCTGATAGTAGGAGAGTGCTATATGTAACTAGAGTGCTGCGTTTCCTAAAATGACAGCACTTCAAAAGTACTCTATTGGGATATCCAAGGTTAAATAAAGGTGCTAGAGAAAAAGGAAGTCTTTTCTTTCATTGAGTTGAATTGATGGTTAAAAAAGCAGCTTCTAATAGGTAGCTTCCAGCAGAGGGATATTGGAAATACAATTTAAATGGTTTGCATATGATAGATCTCTGTTGCTTGGCCTTATTAGGAAGTATAGTTCTCCTGAAGGTCCTGCTTTCCAGCATACTGTGGACAGCAACAAGTTATTCACAAATCTGTTAAAAGCCCGACAATTGGAACACTTGTACAGACCATTTTTTCAAGGATTTAACAGCAGATTTGGAACTGCAAACATCTGTATTTGCTCAATGCCAACTTTTATCTGTGCTGGAAGCTTGGATCTTCCAATAGCAAATTCTTCATTTTTTTAAGCTATTTGTGGGATGTGGACATCACTGACTGGGGCAGCATTTATTGTCCTTGAGAAGGTGGTGGTGAGCAGCCTTTTTAATATGCCTTCATACAATTATTTAAAAATCACAAACCTCTTATGATGTTTTAATTGGAGGAATAATATTACCATTTTCTTGCTCTCCCCAGCAAAAGCATCGTCTACGTATAGTCGTCCCACAGCCTTGTCCATGTTGCTGTTGACATAATTTGCGCACTTTCTCCACACTGCATTCTCTGACGTTGTGCCATAAAGAGCCTGCATGATGCAAAACAAAAGAGAAATGTGAGGTAAAACATTTATATTGGAAAGACTGATTCCACTGGGCTGTATTAATCTGAATAAAACTGCTGCCAGTTCCGTGTATGACATCCAAAATGGAGTAGAATCAAATCAGAAATACATTCTTTCCCCATGAGTCCATCCAGTCATTAATGAGCATTTGAAGAGGATGTAGTTGTGAGAAATGTTTAGTTTCCATTATAAACTAGTTTGAGTACATTTTAATTTTCTGAGAACGAATAAAGTGAGTAATAGTGAATTGGCAGAACATTGTACATTTCTCCTCATAGTATTTTTGTTGAAAAATGTGCTGAGAATGTATACTGGTGTTTATAAACTTCACAATTTTAATACTGTTAACATTTACCACTGTCAATTGCTGTGTCAACAATTCCCATTCAGTTTTGCAATGTCAACAATGGTGTAATTTCAGGCTCTGAACTGTAGATGTCACTGTGGATTGCATTTCTGATGTTTCTCTCCTAATTCAATTTCAGGTGTACCAGCTGCCAATGCACTGGAACAGCATGGTAGTGTCACTGACGTACACCTTGGCGCTGGAAGCCCAGCATCGACTCTACCATATGTGCATGAGGGGAGCCAACGGCACTGGAGGAACCATACTCCACTCGGTGTCCTGCTCCCCAGTTCAATGCCCCACTCTCCTGTCCAGCGCCCTGCTGCCCCCACTCGATGCTTCCCCTCAGCACTCCACTTGCTTACTCTGGAGGCAACGAACTGCAGAGGAGCACAGGCATGAGTGAAAAGGAGACAGTGAGGGGTAGGGAGTGCAGCGGGCATGTCTTGGAAATGGAATGGTGAGCAAATCACAATCCAATGACTCAGTGGTTAGCTGCCTCACAGTACCAGGGACCCGGGTTCAATTCTAGCTTTGGGTGTTTGTCTACATGGAGTTTGCATGTTCTGTTTGTGTTTGCGTGGGTTTCCACTGGGTGCTCCAGTTTCCTCCCAAAATACCAGGTGGATTGGTCATGCCAAATTGCTCAATAGTGTCCAGGGAAGGGTGGATTAGCCATGGTAAATGCAAGGTTACAGGGCTAAGATGGAGTGGTGGGTCTGCGTGGGATGGTCTTTGAAGGATTAGTGTAGACATGATGGGCTTAATGGTCTCGTTCTGCACTGTAGGATTATCTAAGATTCAAACCAGTTTTTGAGCTGATTTTTAAACATTTGAAAGACACTCATTTTCTTTCTCCTATTCTTTGATGCAGACAACTTGCTGTGGCGGTGGTGGTAGTGACATCACAGGCACTGAGGCTACATAGGCAGTGAATGCGCCCCCTGTGTGTGTGGTAACACTAAATGCAGCCTTCCTTTGCCACCTTGCACATAAAAAAAGACAATTACATTTATCAACATTTGTAGGTAAAGCTGTGAACAGCTTATGTGTATTTGAAAGATATCTCAGTCCCACCTTCCGGAACGCAGCTCTTGTCTCCTTGTAGGCAGAGCTCAGACTACCCACAAGATCCATCACCTGCCTCCATATAACGTAGTTTTGAAGGTGCCTGCAGATCACATAAGCAAATTGTGTTATGAAACAGATACTGAAGTACAGTTTCATTACTGCCAAAAACCATTCAATATCCCACTCAAATGGCTAATCCTCAATTGTGAGTTCAGACTATGAAGAATGGCATATTGCCTTTTAGGCAAACCAATACAAGTGACCATGAAAATAATATCCTGTCCTTAACTGACATGCACATCCAACATATCCTGACATGAATCCCTATATCTGTGATCTCCTCAAGTCCTATTACATTTGAGTACTCTGTGGGCATTCAGCTCTGGCCTTTTGTGCAGCTTCCACTTCCTATGTTTCACTGTCATTTGTGCCCTAATAGCTGTCAGCCTCTCCAACTCACGTTCCTTCTTCAAACCTCCCACTTTAACTAAGCCTGTCTGAAATATCTTTTTTTGAATCATTGTCCATATTGAACCATTGTCCGGTGAAAAACTTTGGATTAACTTTTACAATTTGAAAGTCTCTATATAAATGAACGTTGTCATTGTAGAATAACAATTAGGAGTGATTTTTTGCCAATTTCTTAGCTGAGTTTCCCTGGCCTTTTATCTGATTCCAATTATAATGATACAAGTGCTACAGTAATTGAGAAGGATTAAGTGAGAACAGCATTCTTTCTCTCAAATAAGACAGAACTTAATGCCGTCGCCTGTATTGAGTTTGGTGGCAGGGCACGGAAGGTAGAGATTGTTTAACAGACTGATATCAAATTAGTGAAAGAGGCAGCAAAACATTTACAGAGATTTAGAAGGGTTTTATTGTAAATCCATGGTTTAACACAAACTCCAGTTTCCACCTCTCATTTCTAAATCCTTTCCCTGTCCAGAAGTCGGCTCTCAACTGGCAAAGAACCCAAGTCTTTTTCTTTATTTCATTCAAAGATGCCATGCACAAATCTGGTTATTTGTTTCACCATCATCAAATCACAAACGTTACAAATTAAAAGAACAATTAACAAGCACTACCCACCAGGGGCAGTGCAATAATAACAAATACGGGGAGGGAGTGTAGGGAAAGAAGGTGGGGGGAAATTAAACTAAAATGGAGTTGGAAGGAGAAATGTTGCTCTCCAACCCCTATGGTTCCCATCTCTCTCTAAAGGGTGTTGCTGGACACCACAAGCTCCCTCTCCACATTCACCTGGGAATGGACATAGCCATGGAAGAGGGATAGACAATCAGGAACAAATCAACCTCCAGGGCCGAGAACCCAGCTCGATTTTAATTTTTTTCTCATATCTGGAAGAGCTATCACACACAACTAAATGGCTTTCTGACCACCATCAAATCACCTCTAGGACATTTCAACAATTGTCCACCACCAGTAAATCGCCCATGTTTCCAACTAATCAAATCATTTGCAATGCCTGGCAAAGGCAATGCAGAGCACCAACGGTGAGGGAGAGAAAGAGAGGGCAGCAAATCAAATGGAGTAAGAAGGGAAGGAAGGTACTCCACCCTCTATGGTGCCCACTTTTCTTTAAAAGCTTCTCAGTATTGGTGGACATGAGTGTTCCCTCCCAAGGACCCCTGGCACAAAGGTAGCCACAGAAAAGGGGCAGACAGTTGGCAGATATGAGTCCCTCCACTATCTGGATCTGTTAATGGCCAACTTGGCCAGGCCCAGCAGCAGACTTTTGAGGAGGCCCTCCAATTTGGCCTTACCTCTCAGCACCAAAGGTCCAAAGACCAGAAAGAAGAATCTCTGTTTTTTGCCTAATCAACCTGCTTGAACATGTTATGACCTACCTCTGGAGCAAGTGGGACCTGAATGCAGGCCTCCTGGCACAAAGGTAGGGACACTATCACTGCACCACAAGAACATTAACTATCCAACTTAAATACAAAGTCCAATGAGCATTACCTGCAATGGAACTGTTCTGTCTTACCGTTAGAGTGGCTTACATTTCTAACATTGACAGGGTCCCTACCATGTTCCCACCTCAGCCCAATGAAGTCAGTGGCAGGAAAGCTCATGGATGGCCTTCCTACCTTGCTGTCAATTTAGGATCTTTAAGTGGGCAATTAATATCCATCTAAAGGTCTTCTCTTTCCATTACCCTGGTATTGACCCAACAGTTGGCAGATGATTTATCGCAGGGGACACTCAAAGCAAACTCTCCCCGGAGATGGGGGGTGTCGTATTCCTTATTCAACTGGCATTCATCATTGTCCACCTGATTGACAGGCCAGGCATCAGGAAAGGGGTGGGGAAAGAGCTGTTAAGGCTCTGATCCCCACCATTCCCATATTATTGATTACCTCAGACTCTAATACGCCAAGCCCTGGTGTTCTTTGTCCCAAAGGAAGCTCACTGCAAGATTGGTATTCAATATGAAAGATCCTCCCAAAAAGTCCCACCCCAGATTCTAGCTGCTTCTCCAGCCAACATGCATGACCCCTGAGGCTTACATTAAATGTTACACATAGATATTGCATCATGTTAATTCTTACATACATACATACCTCGGCTTATATTTATTGAGAATAGGTGCTAGCTTCCAAAGATACTCTGGTGCATAAACAACAACTGGCTCATTTTCCGTCACATTCAAATGCACAGTAGAGAGAATTTTGTTGGTGAATTTCTTCCAGTTGAATTGCTGAATCAAGAAAACACAGAAATGGAACACAGAAGTTTGTATTTACAAATCAGTAAAAACAAATGAAAACTCCATTCTTTCATATTTTGCATCCATTAACTCATTAAGCTGTCACATGAAAAGAAACCGAGATATTAAACATCATCAGCACCAAAAATGGCTGTAAAGCACACAAGATGTTGTTTAAACCTACCTGGTTCACAAATACTTTGCAGAGAAGGAAATCTATGATTCTTACTGGTCTGGAATTATATATGTGACTCTAGTATCAACCCACATAGCTGACTCTTATCCGCCACCTGACATAGCCCAGCCAACAGGCCGACAGCACCTTCTTAGTATAACTAAGGATGAGCAATTATAGCAATGCCCTGTCTGAAGCATGAGTACCGAGTGAATTAAAGTGCTGATACAAATGCCAAGTACACAGCTCCTTACACATTTTACTTAAAAATTCCAAAAACAGACAGAAAAGATGTCCAGCAATTAAACAGTCAGCTATTTCCAACAAGTTGGGAGTTCGATACCAAGGCGAATAGTCTACAAATCAGCATCATATTTCTCAGAAATAAACTTACTAGACTAGTGTTGTAGAACAGAGAGACCTAGAGCTTCAGGTACATAATTCTTTGAAGTTTGCATCACATGTAGACAGGGTGGTCAAGAAGGCGTTTAGCACACTTGCCTTCGTTGCTCAGACCTGGGAGAATTGGAATTGGGAAGTCATGTGTCTAGAGTACTGTGTCTAATTCTGGTCATGCTATCATATGAAGGATATTATTAAGCTGGAGAGGGTTCAGAAAAGATTTACCAGGATGTTGCAGGGAATGGAATGTTTGAGTTATAGGGAGAGGCTGGATAGGCTGGGACTTTTATCACTGGAGCGTAGGAGGTTTAAAAATCTTTTAGTGTTTATAAAAATCAGGAGGGTGAATGGTAGGTATTGGTTCCCTATGGTGGGGGATTTCAAGACTAAAGAGCTTTTTTTTAAGGTCAGAGGAGAAAGATTTAAAAAGGGCATGAGGGTCAACATTTTTACACGGAGAGCGGTTTGTGTGTGGAATGAATTTCCAGAGAAGTGATGGATGTGGGTACAGTTACAATATTTAAAAGACATTTGGATAAGTACATGAATAAGAAATGTTTGGAGGGATATGGGTCAAGTGCAGGCAGGTGGCACTTGTTTAGTTTAGGTTAATGGTTGGCCTGGATTGGTTGGACTGAAGGGTCTGTTTCTGTGCTGTGTGACTGTATGACTCTAGACACTTCTACTGGGTGATACAAGTTTATTGTTTGGTTCCATAAACAGCAATTAATGTGAGATCAGTTGTAAGTTTTAAATCTCGGAATGCCAGTTTTTGTTTTTAAATCGAGCATAGCATTCAGCATATGGGGAACAATATGGTTCTCCATTGGAAATAATGATCTAACTGAATGGGTACAGCTCCAATAGCACTTTACTGCTACCACAAAGGGGATCGGCAGCAGATATATGGCAAAACATTCACTGACAGGTCACACCATTCTGACTTGCAACTATATCACCATTCCCTCACTATCATTGAAACTTCCTCCCTAACAGCACTGGGTGTCTATGTGTGCCACATGGTCAACAATGGTTCAAGCAGGGTCCCATCATTATGATACTACATGGACTCTATCCAAGTTTGCAAATGACACAAAAATATGTGGGAAGGTAACTGGTGTGGTGTGGATGACACGAAGAGTTTACACAGGGATATAGACAGGTTAAATAAGTGGGCAAAAAACTTGGAAGGGATATAATGTTGGGAAATGTGAGGTTATGCACTTTGGCAGGAAGAATAGAGGGGTTGAATATTATTTAAATGCTGAAAACTATAGAAAGCTATAGCACAGAGGGACTTAAGAGTCCTCATGCACAAATCTCACAAAAAACAACTTGTATACAAGTTCTTCAGGTAATAGAGAAGGCAAATGGAATGTTGACCTTTGTTTGTAAAGGGAATGGAGTATGAAAGTAGGAAATTATAGAATCACATTTTGGCACAGAAGGAGGCCATTGAACTGATCATGCTTCCACCAGTTCTATTACCTAGTGCCAATCTCCTGTCTTTTCCCCATATCTTTGAACAGCACTTCTATCCAAATAATAATCCAATGCCCTTTTGGATACCTCAATTGAACTCGCCTCCACCATATTTCCAGGCAGTGCATTCCATACCCTAATTACTCGCTGTGTGTAAAGGTTTATTCTCACATCCAGCCTGGCTTTGTTTGCACAATCACTTTTCAACTTTCTTGGTTCAATTTAGTCAGAATTAACATTAGCAGTGTTAGCTCACAGATCATGCCTTTGCCTGATGTTTATAGATAGTCATTTCAGGCAATTTTAATTCTAATTTTAACCTTGGTGAATCTGACATAGTTGATAGGAACTCTGGTTTTATCCCCTGCCCTGTATCACACTCCATTCCATTCAATGGAGAATAACATAAGATGGATGTTGCATCTGAGCGCATCAGCTGTTCAAAATTGAAACACTAAAATGTGGGGCATAAGATCAAGAGAAGATTTATACAAAATATGAGCAGAAGTTGACCTTTGAGTCTGTAGCACCATTCCAAAAGATCATGGCTGTCCGATTTTGTTTTGAATTCCACACTCCCATCTACCTGTACCCCCAATAATCTTGAAAGTACTCAATGATCTCCCTTCGCTGCCTTCTGAGGCAGAGTTACAAAGTTGCACAAACTTCTAAGAAAACAAATTGTCCTCATCCCTATTCTTAAAGGGTAACTCCTAATTTTAAAACAGTGCCCCATAGCTCAGTACTGATCCACAAGAGGGAACGTATTTCCAACATCCATCTTGTCAAGACCATTCAGAATCTTATACACTTTGATCAAGTTACCCCTTCCTCTTCTAAACTTCAATGGAAACAAGCCCAGGCTGTCAAATCTCTCCTTATAAGGCAACTCATTCATTTCAAGTATCAATCTAGTAAGCCTTTTTGGAACCATCTCCACCTTAAGGCTAATCCACAATTAAATGACATCACAGCTGATGTCAGTCTTTATGCCAACTACATATCTTGCTTGCATAACTCTTAATTCCTTACTCAACACAAATCACACAAGCTAACAGGCAGATATAAAGCAGTGCTTTGGATGGTGTAAATCTAAAACCAAATAATAATTGCTGGAGAAACCCAGCAGGACTGGTAATATTTGTGGAAAGAATCTTCAATTCCAAAGAGGAGTCATACTGAACTTGAAATTTTAACTCTGTTTTTCTCTCTCCACACATGCTGCCAGACCTGCTGAGTTTCTCCAGCACTTTGTTTATATTTCAGCTAATGGGTTGATTTGGCTAAAATTTCCTCTCTTAGTTCATTTAAAACAAAACAATGAACCAATTATCATCAATTCTTTAAATGTTCATCCACTGAAATGGCCAACAGTACTTCTCAAGTTTCAAATCCGCTGAAGTGAATTTGGCAGTTTAGTGAAATTTGAGATAATTTAAAATGAGGGCTTTGTTGATGAATGAGGCTATTCCAAAGATTGTTGTAACATCAGAATCAAATCGGTCTAGTCTCAATCAGCTGCATTCTCTGTCAATGGGCCAATTCCTCTCCATCACTCTCTCCAATAGCACTTCTGTCAATAGGCAATTTCCTCTCCATCACTCTCTTCAATGCCACATCTCTCAATGGACTATTTCCATTCCATCACTCTCTCCAATGCCACCTCTGGAAATAGGCCATTTCCCCTGCAATGGCGCCTCTGCGAATTGGCCATTTGCACTCTGTCACTCTCTCCAATGCCACCTTTGCCTCAGCAGAGGTTAGCTACTCCGACAGAAAGCCAGGAAGTCAGCAGCTGACTAAGATCACCAGCTAATTGTGGGTCTCCTATGCCAGTTTAATTGATTGGCCCCTCATGATGTTCTGAAACCATTTCCTCTCACCCACTCAGATTGGCTGCATGAATATGCCAATACATGCATTTTATTTAGCTTTCTAAAACCTGCTGGAGAATATTGTAAATGAAGGAGAATGTCAAAATTGCTGGAAAAAATAAAGACCATGACCCATCTGGTTAATTTTCCACCATCCTGCTCGTCTCTTTATACAAAGGTAATGGTGTGGTAAACATAGCAAGCAATCTCTACCAAGCAGCCCATACTGAACTCGACGTGACCAGAAGAGTTTTAGACATCAGAGATTCAAAGTCATCTTGCTCCTTTCAAGCAGGCTGAACTCACCACATACCATGCCTCAATTTGTTCATACACTGGATCCCAAGGTACTATTTTCTAAAGGAAATCTGTCTAATCTGCATTCTAATGCAACACCGTGCTGGCATAGGGGAACATTCCAGCACCACTTGGCACTAACACTGGATATCAATGGGAGAATAGTTTCCACTCTCTATCTACTAGCTTCTGACTCTGGTAAGCCACATTATTTCAAGAAACCATCTTACCTTAGCATCAACTGTGATAGGGAAGTTCATGGTCACATTTTGCAAAGTCATTTTGTGGTAGAGTTGATTGGGATCAGTTCTGTCCACAGATTTGGTTGTTGCCTGTGAAATAAAGTACTTAGGTATGAATATTCTTATCAGCTTGTTTCAATTTACCATAAAAGTGTTATTCTCATCTTCATCAATCAATAATTGTCCAAAAATAGTACAAGTTATTCAGTGTCATGCCTGTGCCTCAGTCCGCAGCACTCTTACCTCCAAATCAGAGGTTTGCATGTTCAAGCCCCACTCCAGAGGTTTGAGCACATCATCTGATACTCCCAGTGCTAGATTGAGGGCCCCATTTTGGAGCAGCCCAGCTCGGCTGAGGCAAAGGTTGCATTAGGGAGAATGACAGAATGGGAATGGCCCATTTTCAGAATTGCCAAAACCATCCCCCACCCATTCACCCATCCCACCCCCCCACCCCCAACAACCCCCACCCTTAACCCCAAAACCTGTATTTACTTCAGCTAATCCACATTGCCTGAGCATCTTTGGACTGATATCTTAATATCATGAGTTATCTCAGCAGTGGGGTTGGCTCAGAAGTCACAACCTAATATGCTTGTCTCCAAGCTAAGTTTAAAGAAAAGGAAAAATCCTGGCTAAATAGCGATTTGCACTTCACTGCTCCACTGAGCAGTGTGGGAGAGGATTGGAATTGTTCTGTTCACCACATACAGGAGAACACTACCATAAACAAACTGCTGGTAATGCTATACACTCAAAGCCAGTTGTTTGCAGGATTCTGATTGTGGTTATTACAGAACATCCAGTCCACTGATTTTCATAAAGCAAGAATGGTATCAAGAGAGTTAGCCTAGCATTGCTAGACAAAAAGAAAATCAAAGCATAGTTTCTGCACACTTGGAATTTTGGTGTTCTTAGACCGATGTTTAACATCCTCAGGCCAAGTTCTATTGTGGACAGTTTAAAAAGGGGCATTAACAACAAAAATAATTTTATTTATTGCACATTTCACATTTCACATAACAAAATACCCTAAAGAGCTTCACAGGAGCAACTTTTGACAGCCAGCCAAAAAATGGTGATTTTAGAAAGATGGCCTCATGGAATTATTACTGGGTTGGTAATCCAGAAACCCAACTAATGTTCTGGGGACCCAGGTTTGAGTCCTGTCACAGTGGATGAGGAATTTGAATTCAATAAAAAACTGGAATTCAGAGTTTAATGAATCGATTGCCGATTGTTGGAAAAACAATGCCCTTTAGGGAAGGAAACTGCCATCATTGCTTAGTCTGGACTACATGTGACGCCAGACACACAGCAATGTGGTTGACTCTTAACTGCCCTCTGGGCAATTAGGGATGGGCAATGAATGCTGACCTAACCAGCGACGTCCTCATCCTGAGAATGAATTTTAAACAATGATCAAAGGAAAAGCTAGTGATGCACGCGGGGTCTAGCAACAGAACTGCTGAGCTTGGGAGAGAAGAGTGAGTCAAGAGCGGGGAGGTTGCAGGAATAGTAGAACTTAGGGCCAAGGGAGATGGGATCTTGCCAGTAATGATCCAGCGATGAAATTTAGAGATACGCAGTTTATTGGAAAACTTATTTTAAATAACTGCATGGTAAAGAAATGGGCAAAGCAATGTTATCTGAATTTAGTAAATGTATGCAAAGCTTCATTTCTGGGGCATTGAAGTGTAAAGTATTCTAGTAACACAAGACTAAAGATGAGGGCTTTTACAAAGAAAACAATTTAATATCATCTCCAAAGAATGCTTATGAAAGACCAATTAATTTACTAATATTCAGCATCAAAATGAACACAGAGGAGTGTAATTTTGACACTGTGTGATAGTGTAAAATGCTTGATAGTGAGTCAGGCACCTGTTGTACCTCTCTCCTTATATTTATTTTCAGTGACTTTGTGCCAAATTGACGCCCACAAAATGTGGGACCAAATTACAGTTTCCATGAGATAAGTGTGTTTGGAAAGCTCATTATTATTGTTTGAAGCATTGAAGCACAGAATACATGGATTACAAACAGCCCATTTCCCTCCTTTCCCTTTTCTTTTGAAAGCAAGCTTTCAGGCACAGTTACATTTCCAAGTATCTTGCAGACACACCAATGCTCCACACAAGCTTTGATTCTCAACAATAAAGGATTAACTTTATGTAACACACAAGCCAATTCAGAGGTAGCTGTAGCACTTATCCTTCCAACCACTGTTAGTGAGACTCTACGGCTTAAAAGGGACAGCATAGGACAAATGCAACTCTCCTCCTATTTGATACCCTCTTGCCTGGGTAGAAAAAGGAAAACTTGAACTTCTATAGCCTTCCACTACCTCAGAACATTACAAAGTTTTTTTTTAATCAGTTAATAAAATTGGGAGATAGTGAAGGTGCAATGGTTAGAACGCCGATTTACCCAGAGGCCCAGGATAATATCCTGCAGCCATGGGTACAAATCCCGCCATAGCTACTAAAAATGAATCTGAAAGAACTGCAGACGCTGGAAATCAGAAACAAAAACAGAAACCGCTGAAAAAGCTCGGCAAGTCTGACAGCATCTGTGGAGAGAAGTCAGAGTTAACGTTTCGGGTCATGTGACCCTTCCTTGAAACTGATGGTAGCTAGGAAAATGTTGTTTTTTATGCAGAAGATAGGGTGGGGAAGGGGGTAAGGAGTAAGCCTTAAGTGGAGATACAGCCCGAAGAGACAGGAGAACAGTTGGGCAGACAAGCGAGTAGATAACAATTAGGCTTGAGAATGAATAGCTATAAATGGGGACTGTTAGTGGCTAACAATGAGTTGTATGTAGTAGCAGACCATGTGATAACAAACCCTGGTATGCGGGGGTTGGGGTAAGGACATGGGAGAAGCTCAAGTGTTAAAATTGTTGAACTCAATATTGACGCCAGAAGGCTGTAGAGTTTCCAAGCAGAAAATGAGGTGTTGTTCTTTCAGCTTGTGCTGAGTTTTGCTCAAGCACTGCAGCATGTCTAAATCAGAGATGGTGACCAGGGAACAAAGTAGGCAACTAGAAGCTCAGGGTCATTTTTGCAGCCAGAACGTAGGTGTTCTGCAAAGCTTCGTTTCCCCAGTGTAGAGGACACCGCAGCAACTGATGGGCTATTGAATTATTAGATTGAAATAAATCATGGGCTGGATTTAACAGGACTCTACTGGGTGTGTTTGTGGTGTAGCACCACATAAGGTAGGTTGGGTGGCTTGCTCACCCCCATATCTAAAAAATAATTAAAGATTAACTGATGTTGTTAGAAACCCAATTGATCCAGATAATGTACATCTCAGGCAACAATATAGCTGGCACAGACAAGAGTGTACTTTGCATCTCTATTCATGATAGAGAAGATCAGTAAAAGGTACAGAATTTAAGGAGGAGGACTATGAAATACACACACAAATTACAAATGAAAGGTAGAAGATGTTAGTAGTTCTAGCAGGTTTAAAATTAGATAGGACCCCAGGCCCCGATGAGATGAATCCAATAATGCTGTGGGAGGAAAAGAAGAAGCTTGCAGGGGCCCTGATATGGATTTTCTAATCTCTGGACAGAGGAGAGGTGCCAGAGGATGGAACAATTGCTAATATGGTGCCACTATTCAAAAGGATGGTAGGGATAAATCAGAGAACTGACAAGGATAGTAAGCATGGCATTGTCAGTGGGAGATCATGTTTGACAGTTTTGACTGATTTTGTCAGGGAGGTGATTAGTGCGTAGATGAGGGTAGTGCAGTTAATGCAGTCTAAATGGACTTCAGTACGATTTTTGCTAAGGGGTCACATGGGAGCATGGTCAAGAAGATAAAAGCCCAAGGGATCCAGAGAAGTTTGGAAATTTGGATTCAAAATTGGCTTTGAGGCAGGGAGCAGAGGTTGCTTTTGTATCTGGAAGCCCATGTCCAGTGGCATACTACAGAGCTCAGTGCATGCCCTTTGCCCTGCATATGTATGTTAATAATCCAGATATGAATGTAGGAGGTTTGATCAGTAAGTTTGCAGAAGAAACAACATTTTATGGCATGGTAAATTTTGAGGAGGAAAGCTTTAGACTACAGGACAATATAGATGGTCTGATCAGACTGGTGGAACAGTGGCAAATAGAATTTAATCCAGATATGTGTGTGATAATGTGTTCTGGGAGGTCTAACAAGGCGGGGGAGTACACATTGAATGGCAGGACCCTAGGAAGTACACAGATTCAAAGGGACTTGGTCTGCATATCCACAGAGCCATGAAGGCAACAGGGCAAAGTGAATAAGGTTGTTAATAAGGCATATGGAAGACTTGCCTTTATTAGTTGAGGCAAGTTGAATACAAGAGCAGGGAGGTTATCATGGAGCTGTACATAATTTTAGTTAGGGCACAAGTGTAGTACTGTATAAAGCTCTTATCTCCACAGTGTACGAGGGATGTGACTGCACTAGAGATTGTGCAGAGAAGATTCGCCAGGATGCTGCCTGGGCTGGAGTGTTTCACCAATGAGGAGAGACCTTTTCCTTGGAGGAGAGAAGACTGTAGGGGGATCTGATTGAGGGGCATAGATCATAAGAAACTTTTCCCCTTCGTAGAAGGGTCAGTAACCAGGCAGCATGGATTTCAGATAAGGGGCTGGAAGTTTAGAAACTATTTAAGGAAGATTTTTTTCACCCACAGAGTGTTGGATATCTGGAACTCGCTGTGTGAAAGGGTGGTCAAGGTCGGAACTATCACAGCTTTAAGAAGGATAGAGATGAACTCTTAAAACTGTCATAGCATGGAAGGCTACAGGCCAAATGCCAGAAAATGCAACAAGAGTAGATGGGTCCTTGATGACCGCCACAGACACAATGGGCTGAAAGACGTCTTTCCAGTCTGCATAACTCAATGATTTATAGGTGGATTAGCTGCTTTTAAAGTGCTACACTAACAAAGGTAGAAAAGTAGGGTGGCACTTCATTTTGGAATGGGTATCCTGCATTCATCAGGGATTGCTACACCTTCCTTCCACACTGCCTGCTGAACAGAACACCCTCCCAATCCCCTCTCTGGGGTCTAGGTTACCTTCCGCACCTTAAAATCCTAGAGATTACTTTCTTGGCACAGTCAGTATCAACAATACTTCAGGGTGCTTCCTGCAGACTGAGCTGTGCCCACTATCAAACGTTGACACTGCCTACAGTGATGGAGTTGTCAACTAATCAAGTTGGTCAGCAGGTACCAAGGAAAGAACCTTTCCTACAATTTGGCAACGTAGGCCATCCAAAGCACACTCTGGCTGTGGGGTCTGCTTAAAGACATAGAGTCATAAATTAATACAGCATGGAAACAGGCTCTTCGGCCCAAACTGGTCCATGTTGACCAGGTCCCCACACTGTTATCTCTGACTCCAGCATCGGCAGTTTTTACTATCTCTGAGTTTCACTAGCAATTTCTGTTTTTGTTTCATTAACCATAGGTGACTTTAATCGTTATTTAGATTAGGAAAATTAAATTGGCAGAGGTAGCCATGAAGGAAACTTCACAGAGGGCATTTGGGCTAGTTTCCTAGATTAAAATGTTGTGGGTCCAACCAGGGATCAGGTAGTTCTCGATCTGATAATGCGTAATGGGGAAGGTTTAATAAATGATCTCACAATAAAAGATTCCCATGGGGATAGTGACCATAACAAGGCAGAAGTTAACATTCAGCTTAAAAGTAAGTAATGTGGGTTTGAACTAACTGTACTAAACTAAATTAAGAGCAATTGCATGGGAATAAAGCAGAATTTGCTGGAGTGGATTGGGAAAGGAATTTAGCAGGAGCAATAGCTGATGACCAATGGCAGATGTTTGAAAACATAGCTGAAAAAAACTGACTATGGTTAACCAGGGAAGCTAAGGACAGTAATAGAAGAAAAAAAAACAAAATGTTGCAAACATTGAGGGAAAACGAGCAAGTAACATAAAAACAGACAGTGAGAGCTTATTTAAATATATACAAAGAAGGAATAAAACGGAAGAGACCACAGAACATATAAGCCCCCTATAGAATGAAGAAACAATAATGGGGGATGAAGAAATAGGTGAGGAGTTGACAAATAGTTTGCATCAGTCCTTGCCATTGAGAATCCTATTAGCATTATAAAAATACTAAATAATCAAGCAGTTAATGTGCAGGAGGAATAAACACAATTACTATCACTAGAGAAAAAGTACTAGGAAAACTAAAGGGGCTAAAGGCCGATTTGTTCCCTGGACCTAAAGGGTTACATCCTAGGATTTTAAAAGAGATGCAGAAAGTTGATGCACTTGAAATAATTTTCTAAGAATCTATAGCTTCTGGAAAAGTCCCAGAGGATTGAAAAACTGCAAATGTGACACCCTTATTTAAAGAAAGGGAAGGAGACTAAAGAACAAGTAACCGTGCGCCAATTAGCTTAACATTCATCATTGAGAAAATTTTGGAGTCTGTTACAAAGGATACAACAACAGAGCATTTAGAAATACATAATACAATCAAGTACAGTGAGCATGACTTCGTGAAGGGGAAATCATGCCTGACAAATTTATCACAATTTTTGCAGGAGATAATAAGAAGGGTAGTTAAGTGGGAACAGATAGACATAATATACCTAAATTTCCAAAAGGCATTCAGTAAAGTACAGTACATAAGGCTATTGAATAAGATAAGAGCCTATGATGTCAGAGCTGGTATAGTAGCATGGATAGATGATTGGTTATATAATAGAAAATGGGCATGAGGAGAAAGAGGACATTTTTATGATGACAACCTGTAACTAGTGGAGTGTCATAGAAATCAGTGCTAGGTGCACAATTATTTATAATGTTTATTAATAACTTGGAAGATGGAAGTGAATACACGATAGTCAAGTTAGTCTACAGAGGGAATATAGAAAGGTTAAATGATGGGTAAAAACTAGGCAGATAGAATATAATATGGGAAAATGATTATACATTTTGTTAGTAATAATAGAAGAGCTGAATAGTATTTAAATGGGAAAAGACTGCAAAAAGCCACAGAACAGAGGGATTTGGGTGTTCTAGTACATGAATCATAAAACACTAGAATTAAGTTCAATGGGTAATAGGGAAGGCAAATAAAATGTTGGCCTTTATTTCAAAGGGAACGGAGTAGAGGTTTTGCTAAAAATATGTAAGACATAGTCAAATCACAGCTGGAATATTGTGAACTATTTTGTTTCCTTCACTATGGAATGACACACTGGCATTGAAGGCAGTCCAGAGAAAGCTCACTATGTTGACTCCAGGAATGCAGCAACTTTGTTATGAGGAAATATTGAGTAGGATTGGCTAGTACTTGGAGTCTAGATGAATGAGAGGAGACTTTATTGAAACATACAAGATTGTTAGGGTGTTTGACAGGATAGATGCATGGTAGATGAATTGGGTGGCACAGTGGCTCAATGGCTAGCACTGCTACCTCACAGCACCAGGGACCTAAGTTTGATTCCAGCCTTGGGCAACTGTTTGTGTGGAATCTGCACATTCTCCCTTTGTCTGTGTGGGTTTCCTCTGGGTGCTATAGTTTCCTCCCACAGTCCAAAGTTGTGCAGGTTAGGTGGATTGACCATGCTAAAGTGTCCAGGCATATGAAGCCTAAAGCATTAGCCATGGGAAATGCAAGGTTACAAGGCGGGGTGAGTCTGGGTTGAACGTTCTTCAAAGGGTTGATGTGGACTTGATGGGCTGAACTGTCTGTTTTCACACTTTAGGGATTCTATCATAAAAAGTTTTTCCCCTTTGTGGCCCAGCCAGTGACACCTACATTTCATGAAATAATAAAAAAATTTCTGAGGCACAGGATCAAAAGTCAAAACTCAGTTTCCTCTTCCCAAGCTTTCATGTTAAGGCTATTAACAAGATTATGACCTCTAATGCCTGCTTTCCTTTCAGTCAGAGTAAGGAGAATTTTTGATCTGTCTCATTCAATCATTTTCAGGACAATGGAATGAAATCAGCTCACCATGTCTTCTCTGTTTCTGTGAGGCAGCACATAAGTGGCAGTAAAAAGATAAAATAACTTACATTAGCTAACTCCTTCTCAAACTCCAGAACCATATTCATATCATCCTCAATTTGGGAGTGATTTACGGTTAATCCTTTGTCCTTACGAACCAATGTAGCCACATTACTCATAAACAGGGAGTAAGCATCACATGCCTGTAGGGAAATAAATAAATGGATGCATAATTGTCTTGGAAAAGAATCGAGAATCCTACCAGTTTTGGTAAAATAACAGATAGCATAATCTTGCAGTCTTTTATCTTTCAGGCTAAAAGGACCCCAAAGTTAACAGGTCTCTCCTTAAAGCTATGAGCCTTATGTTCAGATATCATTCCTCTGAATCTTTCTTACACCTTCCCAATGCCTGTATTTTTTTTTATGATGTGGAAACCAGAATTGCATAGTGTGGTGCAAGCAAGATATGTCATAAGTTTTGACAAACCTTCTTTGGTTTTGAATCCTTATCTTCAGAGAATCATTCCCATCTTTTTGCAAGAGGTGAAATTTGAATTATGAAAAAAAAATCTGGAATTAGAAGCTGGTCTAAAAGATGTCCATATAACCATTGTCTATTGTCCTAAAACCCCATTTAGTTCACTAATGATCTTTAGGGATGGAAATTTACCATCCTTACCTGGGTATGGTCAACGTTTGACTCTCGAATTGTAGTAGTTTGGTTGACCCTTAAATGCTCTCTAAAATTCTCTGGAGAGCCAGTTTAAAGGCCAACATGGATGGGCAACAAATATTGGCAATGCAGGTGATGTTCACATCCCATTCAAGACTTAAACAAAAACTCTTCTGTTTTGTTTGCATTTTTTATGAGTCTATTAATCTATGTTGGTTTTAATGATATGCAAACCTGTACCTCAAGATCCTTTACGCTTCCAAAACATTTCATTTTGCAAGCCATGTGCACCTTCCTCCATCTACTCTGCCAAAATGCAGCATTTAATATTTAACATATACTTGTCCATTCAGCAAATTTGTTAATGCCTTCTTGGATTTTTCTGCTGCTTTCCTCAGTACTAACTAGTACCCCCTAATTTGGTGTCATTTGAAATGTTGACACTGCACTTCTGATTCTTGTGAGAGAAAGAAATAGAAGGCCATATTGAGGTGAAGTTAGTAGAAAGAGCTTCATGTGCATGATAGTTGTTGCGATGAATGGCCTTAAAATGTGATGTAATTAAGTGGCGAGAAGATCAGATAAGCCCTGACTGTATCTCACCATTCCTTGGTAATACAGAACTTGAACGTTTTCAAAAAGAGATAAAAACACACAACTTTTCATCTTGCATTTCTCATGACTCAGATGCAAAAAACAAAACTTTGAAAAGGAATATTAATTTATAATGCATGAGAAGAGAGTGTTGATTGGTTGGACCATGGTTGGTATGGTTATTTAATTGGATCTGTTAACTGTCAATAATAGCTTGCTGATTAACCTCAGAACATGCAATAGGCTCTTGGTTCGCCAAAGCACTGCCATGGTGAACAGAGCAGAGATCGGCAGTCTTTCTGTTAATCCACTCAGGATGTTGCTGGCTGGGCCAGCTTTTACTGTCTGTCCCTACTTACCTTTGAGAAGGTGGTAGTAAGATGCCTTATTGAACTGTTGCATTCCATGCACTATACGTAGAGCCACAGTTCTGACAGGGAGAGAATTCCAGGCTTCCTGACCCAACGAAGGTGGAATTTATGCACAAACCCCTTTTTGTGTACATTTTTCACTGAGAAAGTGTTACCGATATAGTCTAGGCTGCTTCTTCCTTTTTTGCCCCCTTCTGATGGCAATTTGCTCTCTAAAGTCATTTTTTGCTGAATCTGCATACCCACCAAGCTGAATATTTTATTAAGGAGAGGTGTTAATAGTCAGGGAATCAAGACGGGGAGATACATTTGTGATGACCTAACTAAATAGTGAAACAAACTTCTGTATGGAAACAAATGTCATGACTTAGTCTCTCTATTTCAGCCTATGTCTCTAAAAACACAACATTTCAGATAACTTGAAACAAAACAACCTCAAACACACTCAGATTTGGATAATGTGGTTCAATGGAAACTGCTAACTAGCTGCAGATGTCGCTGTGGTGTAATTATATACCAATTTGGTTCAAAAAGTTTTACACATAGATAAATAGAATTCATGCGTGACCATCTACTTAAGATTTAGCACCATCAACTAACCAAGAAAGCCAATGCAGCTGCGATGATCAAATGAAATGCTCACAAGCCTGCATTTCATCTGACCATGTTGCTAAGAAAGGTTAAAGTTCATCTGCACAAGCCCTGCGTATACAAGTTTTGAGATCACAATCCAATATTGACTGTGTCTGTTACTCATTTGTTTTGTGGGAAAATTAGCCACATCTGGAGTTCCAATTATCCACCCGTGGTTTATATATTGGAAAAGACTGCATTGGGAAAGATAGCAGCCTTGGCTAAAAGCAAAAGTGGAATTTTTGAAGTTGCATGTGTACACAAAATAATTTGTACTCTAGTGGTGGTGCTGGAGAGATTTTTTGAGAAAATTTATGGCCCCTTCAAAAAGAGGGACCTATGGAATTGCACCCTGGACCTGCTTTGTTAGAATAAGGCACCATGCTTATCATCATTGTTATTGCTGCCTGTCAACAATCAAGGAGCAAAAGGCCACTTCAAAATCAGTACAATATCTGGACTGTCTATGAACTTATATATCCTAATTACTTAGCATTATCATCAGCAAAAAATTTGTGATAAGAGGAAACAGAGTTAATTATTGGCAGCTTTATTAATAAATAAAATAGCAATAATCAGCTTCTCCTTCCCTGGAACCCTATCATTTGTAAAATGAAATAACCTTACAAGAGGCACCGAATCAGGTGCCTATATGGTTTTAGTTTGCCCAAGAAGCATAGAAAAAGAAGAACATGAACCATTCCTCTGAGTAGGAGGTTGTTCATCTCTAACTGCAAAAACATGAGCATGGAATACAGACTGACCCTCAATGTAGCACTGAGGGAGTGTTGCATTCCTGGAGGCGCCATCTTTGGGTCCAGATGTTGAAATCTGTTTTTTGAAATCTGTCCTCTCAGATGAATGCATAATATCCCATGCCATGCTTTTGAAGAATAGTAGAAGGTTTGACCAACATTTATCAGCCAATCAAAATCACTGAAGCAGATTATTATCCATTGTCACACTGTTTTTTGGAGAATTTACTGCGTTTTTATTGACAAATTGAAACATAGAAACTTGGAGCAAGAGTATACCATTCAGCTCTTCGAGCCTGCTCTGTTATTCGATGTAATTATGGCTGATCCTCTGTCTCAATGGCATGTTCCTGCTTTCTCTCTACACCCACTGAAGCCTTCTTGAATATATTCAGCAACTCGGCCTCCACAGCCTTCTGTGGTTGAGAATTCCATTGGTTCACTACTCTTTGAGTGAAGAAAATTTCCCTCATCTCAGTCCAAAATGTCCACTCCATGTCCTGGGACTGTGATCCCTGGTTCTAGGCGCCACGACCAGGGGAAACTTTCTCCTCGCATCTAGTCTGTCCAGCTCTTACAGGACTTAATCTGTTTCGATCGGATGCCCTGTCATCCTTCGAAACTTTGGTAAATTTAGGCCAGTCAAACCAATGTCTCCTCATGGGATTTTACTTCCTACCATGGTAAATAATCTGACATTGCATTCTGTCCACATTGGGTATATCCTTTCTTAGGTAAGGAGAACAAAACTGCATGCAGCGTTCCAGATGTGGTCTCACCAAGGTCTCTCATCACTGCAGCAAGACGTCCCTACTTCTGAACTCAAATCCACTGGCAATGAAGGCCAATATATTATTTGCCCTTCCAATTCTTTGTTACACTTGCCTGTTCACTTTCATAGATTAGTATACAATGACACCCAGATCCCTTTGTAATTCACATTTCAAAATGTGTCAGCATTTAAATAACATACTGACGTAATGATTTTCACAGCGAATGTAACTTTACTTTCGGCCACAATGTATTGCATCTGTCATGTATTTTCCAACTCACTTAACTTGTCTAAATCACCTTGAAGCCTTGTTGCATCCTCCATACAACTTACAATCCTGTCCAAACTTGGAAATTTTGCATTTTGTTCCTTTATCTAGGTCATTTACATACATTGTGAATAGATAGGGTTCCAGCACTGAACCTGGTACTACCCGCTAGTCACTGACTACCTCCTACAAAATGATCCCTTTATTCCCATTCTGTTTCCTGTCTCTCAACCAATTCTCAATCCATACCAATATATTACCCCTAATCTCATGTAGTTTAAGTTTGTCCACTAACGTCTTATGTGGGATCTTATCAAAACTTTTGAAAATCCATATACATCACATCCACAGGTTCTCTTTTATCTACTTTAAGAGTTACACCCTCAAAAAAAACTCCAGTAAATTTGTTAAACCCATGCTGGCTCTGTTCAATCCTACTCATGTTTTCTTAATGTTTCATCGTCATGTCTTTTATAATACACTCTAACATTTTCCGATTACTGATGTTAGGCTAACTGGTTTATAATTGTCTGTTTTGTCTCTCCCTCCCTTTAATAAATAGTGGGGTTACATTTGTAATAGTGGTGTTATATGTACCAGCACTACAACAGTGATTTCAATTGCAATAATATCCCATTGCTTGGAAAATGCTTTGGGATATTGTGCGTTTGTGAAAAATGTTATATAAATGCAAAATTTTTTTTCTTATTGCCTTCTTAAGACTTCCAACAGTGCTACAGCATCGATGATGGCTGAGCAACTGAAGTATAATCACAACTGATCTATGGTCAGGCCTCCCTGACAAAACATGCAGCAGGTTTCACCATAACCAATGAGGCAAATGGTCAATCTGTCCATTTCTCTGATGGGGTTGGTTGCCTGTACACTTTTGAATAGTGTCATGGAACCAAGATGAAACAACTGAACAGGTGCACTTGGCCTAAGCCCACCTGGAAAGTGCCACTTCTTACACTGTGGAGGTATGTCCATGGATAGAGAAAGAAAAGCTGCTGAAATCACATAAGCCATGACCCAACTTGACATACTTCTACCTTTTCCCTTTACTGTCCCTCAGGGTGTTGTTGTTTTAAAGAGAACTTTCTTGAGGAAAAGAAATCTGCAAATGAAAGTTCTT